TCTGGCCTGCCGCGGCGCTGGAGGCGGCGCCAGAGCCCTTCGAGCCCTGGGAGGAGTCCAGCGGGAGTCGCCACGACGCTCTCTGCTTGGGCGTCATCCCCTGGCCCAGGAGGTAGAACAGTAGCCGCTCGAGGTGTCCATTGAGGCGTTGCATGTACTTCTGCTGCTGGACGCCGTGCTGCTCGTAGCCGTCGAAGTGGCCGGCGTCTCGCTCTGCTGCGAGGGTCGCTGCCTACGATGTGTTCCGCCGACTGACGAATGGCAGCGCGTGCAGCAAGGGTGTTCTAAACGGCAGGCGAGGGGCGGCAGCTGGATGGCGCGGGGCGCGGCGGGTGAGCGCTCGGGGTGGCCGAGCGCGTGGTAAGCCTTCTGACGACCGGCTTGCGCATGGAACCCGATGGCGACGGCGATGCATGTCCTAGGACGTGAACTCGGAGTTTTTGCTGATCATGATATTCGTGTTGGCATGCATGGTCCAAAGCGTAGTCCCGTAAAGGACATGCAGTACATGTGGCTGGGACCCAGGGATATGCATGACGCGTAAGTTCTGGAATGCATCTACCTGCTTGCCATGCTCGTCGTAAATGTCTAACTGCGTGATCTTGATTTGGGATGTAGTTTGGCACACAATGCATGTGTTGTCGATCTGTAGCGTAGTCCATGCCGCTTGCATACCATGTCCTAGGCTCTTAGATTTGGTTTGATGTGTGGCGAGCTGTTTGAGCGTCCCGAACCGTTTCTGGCACGACTCGATGCTGCACACGAAGGGGCGGTTCGTCTCGTCATCGGTGTCCGTCTCGTCGTATGCTGACGCCGAGGGGAGAGAGGAAGTGATCACGCTGGCCTCGGGGGGAGCCCACTGAGTCGTCCAATAGGAAGCCCTGAGAGCCCGAACGTCGCAGCTAAGAAAGGCCTCTCGAACCCACTCGTCGTCCCATAGGTCTTTTACAACTCGAGGTTGCCGCGCTTCCTGAAAGCTCTCGCCGATCATGTGAGACGATAGGCACTTCAAATCGTCCGCGAGCTGTATGGCCCACGGGTGCACGTTCGGGTCTGCGGAGATCTCACCCTGCGAATTGAGGGTGCCAGCGCTGACGGGGCGGTTGCTCATGGCCGCCTGCTGCTCGAACTTGCACCTTCCAAAAAAAAAGCCGCAAGAGAGTGGCCTCGATGAGCGTGCGATCGGATGATGCTCTGCCACCAACTGAGCCTGCGCACGAGTAGTTCGATGGCAGTCGGTGCAACTTGCCATTCAAGAAAAACTTGACGGGTGGACAAGGATCGATGATTGTTGTTCTCATCCTCCTTGTGTGCCGTTCCTCTCATCATTGTTCGTAGTTTGCGGGCCAGCGAACTGTCGAGTCTGTGGAGCTCTCTGGGGGTCAGCACATAGCTTTCGAGGCCCGACCAAACCCTCCCCGCGACATTGGACACGCACGCGAGCCGTTTAGCCTTCCAAAGTCCCCCAGAAAACCAGTAGTTGCCCAGACGGCACCACCCAGTCTTTCCTGATTGTATGCGGGCCTCGACGTCACGACGATTAGTGTTTGCGACGTGTACATATCCTCCGATATGAATCAAGTCCTGGACAACATTCCCAGAAATGTTCCGTTCGGCCTCCTTCGTAGCCCCATGGGTGCCCAGTGAAACCAGGGTGTCCTGCTTACTGATGTTCTGTGCGTAGCCGCCAGCCTCGAGGGCCTGGGGGAGCGCGTTGTTGTCGATCTTATCAATCTGCAGCGCCTGGAGGGACGCGCCATCTGGCACCGAGAGGATCTTGACTAGATCGCCAATGCAAGCTCCAAGATGCGCATCGTGCTCTTCACCAGTGAAAGGACAATGTACATGAAAAGGGTTTCCCTGGGCCTGGGCCATCTCCTGGGACCACTGCATAACGAATGGATAAACTGATTCCATGAAAAGTTCAGGCTCGTTTGAGTCGCCCATCCTCCCTCCTGTCCCTGGTCGAAGAGCTATGCTGGCATCAGACGCCTGCAGAAATACTACAGCATCATGTCGATGCTGCTCAAGGAGGGGGTGAACATGCTCGTCTTCGCATCGAAGTGCGTGAGCTGCGACCAGTCGCTCGTGGGAGCCTGTCGCGAATGCGTTCCGCATGTCGTACGACTTACAAAGAAAAGACATTCGGACTGATCTTATCTTTCATATCAAAAGCTTAGCACTAAGCATGAGCGAGCGACTCGCGGCGACGGGAATGAATGCTTCGTAAGCCCACGGCGGTGGGTCGAATTGGGTTCCATACTGAATGGGTCCTATCCTAAGATATAATCGCCAAAAGTGGTCGGAACAATGAAGTAAACGAGCGCATGCATGAATATCCTGAATCACGTTGCCAGTGGGGCTTTTCTTTTCTTTTTGGGCCGATGGCGACCGCCTGGCTAGTGAAAGCCTGGGCGGGTAGAGATCCACATCGATGGACGTGGGCAAGTAGTGTGACATGATGATGATGATACGACTGACGATGATGAGGCACGCGTGCAACAGCTGGCATGATGTTAGTCAACGTGGACCCCAGACAGTGCGTTTCTAGCAATATACGTTGTGCAATATACGTGGTGCAAGCTATGTGTTCTTTTATGTGGTAGAATATCGGTTGTGCAATCTATGTGGGGCAATACGTGTGGTGCAATCAATGTAGCGCAATCTTTGTTGTGTATTCTATGTTGTGTAACCTATGCTGTGCGATCTATGGTGTGCATTGTAATCTAGGTGGTGCAATATGTGTGGTGCAATCTGCGTGGTGCAATCTAGGCTGTGCAACCTATATGGATCAGTCTATGTGGTGCGACCGATGTATGTAGTACAGTCTATGTTGTGCAATAAGTGGTGCAAGGTATGGTGCATTCTACGTGGTGCGACCAAGGTGGCGCAATCAATGTCGTGTGCAACCTATTTTTGTGCGGTATAGGAGAAGCGACATATGTGGTGCAATCAATGTTGTGCAACTAGTTTTTGATTGCAATGAGTTGTCAACTTCACGGATCGCGCCATCATCCCACCCACCCACCCGCACCTTGATTTGCAAAGCCCATGAAGCGGCAACTGCCATGCCTGCCTGGCGCTGGCTGGGCCATCGCTGGGGCCGCGCTATCGCGCGCAACCTAACGCGCAGAGCGGCCAACCAGTCTGGCGCGGCCGACGCCGCCGCGGTGGCGCTGACCGCTGGTGACTTCCCAGCGCGTCTCACAAGCCGCGCTGACGCGCGAGCACCTCAGTGTGAGTCGGTGACTCGGGCGGGCACGGCACCAAGGCGACGTCGACAACGGCCGACAGTGATGCTAGTGTCGACAATGACGATGACGACGGCAAGGCAAACGACGGCGCCGATGCTGATCACGCCGGTGACGATAATGGTGTCCACGCGTCGGTAATGAAACATTTGAACGGATTTCGACATGCGCCCGCGGCCGACGGGCGCGAATGGTCCGCATGGTACTATTTGGCCGGGGTCGTGCCCCCTGAATGGGCGTTCAAGGGCGTTCGAATGGCTTCGGCATGCGCGCGCGAGAGGCCCGCCTGGTCTCATCTGATGAGCATGTTGGAAACCTACGGTGTATTTTATATTTTGCAATGGGCGTGCGCGCAGATTTTCTTGAAAACTTATGTTGTAAAATCTTGTGTGTGAATGTGTTTTCGGGGACTCGATTTTGAAATCATTACGAAACCTATGGTTTTGAAGGATTTCGGCATGCCCGCGCGACGACGCGCGCGTATGCACTTCGTCAAATTTTCTTCAAGGGATTCTTGAAAATGAGCGATTTCTGATAAGCGAATGTGCAAGCATGTGTTTTGCAGAGGAAGGTGGGGGGTGGGGTCGAAACCGGCTGGGATGGCATGAGTTCCAATGCAAAATTAACGATGGGGCAACACCAGATGTAAACTGCACGTCCCCAGGGGTAGCGGATAACCTGGAGGGGGGGCAGAGCTTAAGGCTTTGAGAAAGACACTATACTGTGCGGCCACGAAGCGGCGGGGGCGGCAAGAAGGCGGCGGACCCGACAGGCGAGCCCAGACCACGGGCGGCGAGGAGGCGGCGACGGCGGCAGCAGGGCGGCGGGCCCGGCAAGCGAGCTCAGACCACGGGCGGCGACGAGGCGGCGACGGCGGCAACAGGGCGGCGGACCCAACAAACGAGCCCAGCTTTTTAGAGCACAAATGCGAACCCCCAAGTGCAAGCACTGCTTGGGGAATTACCCATCGGTCGGAAGAAGTAGGTAGGAACATGAAGTAGGAAGGCGTTGAACATAGACTGGGTTCCGTCCGCCCCCTTGGGAGGACGGAAGAGGGGAAGCCACTTGATCATTGAAGTAGGAAGGCGCTGAAAGTATATTGGAGTCTGGGAGTCTAACAATACTTTACTTCCAACGACCGATGGGTACGATTGTCTCACGAGTTCAACGCAGGTGGGTGCGCGCACGTTTCCGTCGGAAGAACGGTGGTTGAGAAATAAGGTGGGGGTTCGCGGCAGCGCGCGCATGTGGTCTGCATGGTAATCACCGGTACGAATGCTTACAAAGCATACTTGTGGTATAAACGCGTACCCCGTATACATGAGACGGACTGGGGAGGAGGGCGGAAGCGGGCCTGGCTAGAATTGTACTACTATGTGTTGATATGACAGATCGCGAACACTAACAACGAAACAATTACGAAGAGGGGGGTGGGCGAGACAATTATTCCTTGAGCACGCGAAGTCCACGCGGAGTACCCTATGCGGTGCAAGCTGTGTTGTGTAAGTGAGTTTGCCCGCGTCCTCGCGTGACTACCTCCAATGTTCGTGCAAACATCCCGCCACCCACCGATCCGCAACTTGCTGGCAACACGCAGCTGGGCGGCGACAGAAACGATGACGACGACGATGACGATGTTCATGGCGACGGTGGGGACGATGTCCACGGCGACGATGGTGATGGTGATGAAGTTGCCTACTCCAGCCTCCATTGGGCGGCCCAGTCTAGCGAATTCCACGTCCCAACGTCCTCGTGACGCGCTCCTGGGCGTCCGCCAGGCGCTGCATGCGGATCAGGGCGTCCTGCGGGTTTCCTTATCCTTCTCCTTCTGCAATTGTGAGACCATGACTCCAAACCAAAAAAAGCACTCCCGTGCGTTTTGATAACTATCAACACAGAATGGGCCCTCCCCAGACATCTGTTTCAAAACGTGGCTCCGAAGGGGTCTGGACTTCTTCCCCTGGATCGTTTTTTCATCCCGAGTCATCTTTTGGTGGTACCGGGGCTTAGTGAGGCCAGCACGGTCGAAGAGGGCCACGAGTCACCGAACGATCGGTCCAAAACGCCCAAGATAGCCTCCAGGCCCCAAGCGGGCCAGAGAGGCCCCCGCGAGGGCCCCAAGAGGCGCCCAGACCCCAGACGGCCCCCGGGAGGCCCCCGCGAGGCCCCCAAGAGGCTCTCGAGAAGCCCCCGAGTGGCTCCCAAGAGCCTCCCAAACTGCCCTCCAGAGGCCCGCGAGAGCGCTCTGGAGAGAGCCCAAGAATCATCCCGATTTTCAGTATTTTTTTGATATTTGGGGCATATTTTGATGATTTCCATAGTTCCCAGCCATCCTGTGGTGTTGGGTCCTCGTTTTGAAGAGACGGTGCCCCGCGTTCCTTCCTCCTCCCTCCTCCCCCTCCTTGCCTCTGCTCTCGGCACACCTCTCACGCGTTTCGTAGCCCCATAGGGAGCTCCACCGAAGGCACCAGTGGGGGTGTCCACATGCGGTTCCCCCACCCAGGGCAGCGTTTCGTAGCCCCAGAGGGAGCTCCACCGAAGGCCCCAGTGGGGGTGTCCACATGCGGTTCCCCCACCCAGGGCAGCGTTTCGTGCCCCATAGGGAGCTCCACCGAAGGCCCCAGTGGGGGTGTCCACATGCGGTTCCCCCACCCAGGGCGTTTCGTAGCCCCAGTCCACCGAAGGCCCCAGTGGGGGTGTCCACATGCGGTTCCCCCACCCAGGGCAGCGTTTCGTAGCCCCATAGGGAGCTCCACCGAAGGCCCCAGTGGGGGTGTCCACATGCGGTTCCCCCACCCAGGGCAGCGTTTCGTGGCCCCATAGGGAGCTCCACCGAAGGCCCCAGTGGGGGTGTTCGCATGCGGTTCCCCCACCCAGGGCAGCGTTTCGTAGCCCCATAGGGAGCTCCACCGAAGGCCCCAGTGGGGGTGTCCACATGCGGTTCCCCCACCCAGGGCAGCGTTTCGTAGCCCCATAGGGAGCTCCACCGAAGGCCCCAGTGGGGGTGTCCACATGCGGTTCCCCCACCCAGGGCAGCGTTTCGTGGCCCCATAGGGAGCTCCACCGAAGGCCCCAGTGGGGGTGTCCACATGCGGTTCCCCCACCCAGGGCAGCGTTTCGTAGCCCCATAGGGAGCTCCACCGAAGGCCCCAGTGGGGGTGTCCACATGCGGTTCCCCCACCCAGGGCAGCGTTTCGTGGCCCCATAGGGAGCTCCACCGAAGGCCCCAGTGGGGGTGTCCTCATGCGGTTCCCCCACCCAGGGCAGCGTTTCGTAGCCCCAGAGGGAGCTCCACCGAAGGCCCCAGTGGGGGTGCCCGCATGCGGTTCCCCCACCCAGGGCAGCGTTTCGTGGCCCCACAGGGGGCTCCACCGAAGGCCCCAGTGGGGCTGCCTGCATGCGGTTCCCCCGCCCAGGGCAGCGTTTCGTAGCCCCATAGGGAGCTCCACCGAAGGCTCCAGTGGGGGTGTTCGCATGCGTCTCCACTACCCAAAGGTAGCGCCGCCGAAAACGATATTCACACTTGCGGTATTCACAATTGCATATGGTTGGGTCCTTCGCCAGGCTAATTCTTAAGTGATTTTGGGCATATTTTGATGATTTCCATTTTTTCCCCCAACCATCCTGTGGTGTTGGGTCATCGTTTTGAAGAGACGGTGCCCCGCGTTCGTTCCTCCTCCCTCCTCCCCCTCCTTGCCTCTGCTCTCGGCACACCTCTCGCGCGTTTCGTAGCCCCATAGGGAGCTCCACCGAAGGCCCCAGTGGGGGTGTCCACATGCGGTTCCCCCACCCAGGGCAGCGTTTCGTGGCCCCATAGGGAGCTCCACCGAAGGCCCCAGTGGGGGTGTCGCATGCGGTTCCCCCACCCAGGGCAGCGTTTCGTGGCCCCATAGGGAGCTCCACCGAAGGCCCCAGTGGGGGTGTCCACATGCGGTTCCCCCACCCAGGGCAGCGTTTCGTAGCCCCATAGGGAGCTCCACCGAAGGCCCCAGTGGGGGTGTCCACATGCGGTTCCCCCACCCAGGGCAGCGTTTCGTAGCCCCATAGGGAGCTCCACCGAAGGCCCCAGTGGGGGTGTCCACATGCGGTTCCCCCACCCAGGGCAGCGTTTCGTAGCCCCAGAGGGAGCTCCACCGAAGGCCCCAGTGGGGGTGTCCACATGCGGTTCCCCCACCCAGGGCAGCGTTTCGTAGCCCCATAGGGAGCTCCACCGAAGGCCCCAGTGGGGGTGTCCACATGCGGTTCCCCCACGCAGCGTTTCGTAGCCCCAGAGGGAGCTCCACCGAAGGCCCCAGTGGGGGTGTCCACATGCGGTTCCCCCACCCAGGGCAGCGTTTCGTAGCCCCAGAGGGAGCTCCACCGAAGGCCCCAGTGGGGGTGTCCACATGCGGTTCCCCCACCCAGGGCAGCGTTTCGTAGCCCCATAGGGAGCTCCACCGTAGGCCCCAGTGGGGCTGCCCTCATGCGGTTCCCCCACCCAGGGCAGCGTTTCGTAGCCCCAGAGGGAGCTCCACCGTAGGCCCCAGTGGGGGTGCCCGCATGCGGTTCCCCCACCCAGGGCAGCGTTTCGTGGCCCCACAGGGAGCTCCACCGAAGGCCCCAGTGGGGCTGCCTGCATGCGGTTCCCCCACCCAGGGCAGCGTTTCGTAGCCCCATAGGGAGCTCCACCGAAGGCTCCAGTGGGGGTGTTCGCATGCGTCTCCACTACCCAGAGGTAGCGCCGCCGAAAACGATATTCACACTTGCGGTATTCACAGTTGCATATGGTTGGGTCCTTCGCCAGGCTAATTTTCCCAACCATCCTGTGGTGTTGGGTCATCGTTTTGAAGAGACGGTGCCCAGCGTTCCTCTCCTTCCTCTCCTCCTCCCCCTCGTGGGGGTGTTCGCATGCGGTTCCCCCACCCAGGGCAGCGTTTCGTAGCCCCAAAGGGAGCTCCACCGAAGGCCCCAGTGGGGGTGTTCGCATGCGGTTCCCCCACCCAGGGCAGCGTTTCGTGGCCCCATAGGGAGCTCCACCGAAGGCCCCAGTGGGGGTGTTCGCATGCGGTTCCCCCACCCAGGGCAGCGTTTCGTAGCCCCATAGGGAGCTCCACCGAAGGCCCCAGTGGGGGTGTTCGCATGCGGTTCCCCCACCCAGGGCAGCGTTTCGTGGCCCCATAGGGAGCTCCACCGAAGGCCCCAGTGGGGGTGTTCGCATGCGGTTCCCCCACCCAGGGCAGCGTTTCGTGGCCCCATAGGGAGCTCCACCGAAGGCCCCAGTGGGGGTGTTCGCATGCGGTTCCCCCACCCAGGGCAGCGTTTCGTAGCCCCATAGGGAGCTCCACCGAAGGCCCCAGTGGGGGTGTTCGCATGCGGTTCCCCCACCCAGGGCAGCGTTTCGTGGCCCCATAGGGAGCTCCACCGAAGGCCCCAGTGGGGGTGTTCGCATGCGGTTCCCCCACCCAGGGCAGCGTTTCGTAGCCCCATAGGGAGCTCCACCGAAGGCCCCAGTGGGGGTGTTCGCATGCGGTTCCCCCACCCAGGGCAGCGTTTCGTGGCCCCATAGGGAGCTCCACCGAAGGCCCCAGTGGGGGTGTTCGCATGCGGTTCCCCCACCCAGGGCAGCGTTTCGTAGCCCCATAGGGAGCTCCACCGAAGGCCCCAGTGGGGGTGTTCGCATGCGGTTCCCCCACCCAGGGCAGCGTTTCGTGGCCCCATAGGGAGCTCCACCGAAGGCCCCAGTGGGGGTGTTCGCATGCGGTTCCCCCACCCAGGGCAGCGTTTCGTGGCCCCATAGGGAGCTCCACCGAAGGCCCCAGTGGGGGTGTTCGCATGCGGTTCCCCCACCCAGGGCAGCGTTTCGTGGCCCCATAGGGAGCTCCACCGAAGGCCCCAGTGGGGGTGTTCGCATGCGGTTCCCCCACCCAGGGCAGCGTTTCGTGGCCCCATAGGGAGCTCCACCGAAGGCCCCAGTGGGGTGTTCGCATGCGTTTCCGTCGTCGTCGTCGTCGTCGTCGTCGTCGTCGCCGCCGCCGCCGCCGCGCCGCCGCCGCCGCGCGCCGCCGTCGTCGTCGTCGTCGTCGTCGTCGTCGTCGTCGTCGTCGTCGTCGTCGTCGTCGTCGTCGTCGTCGTCGTCGTCGTCGTCGTCGTCGTCGTCGTCGTCGTCGTCGTCGTCGTCGTCGTCGTCGTCGTCGTCGTCGTCGTCGTCGTCGTCGTCTCACACATTGTTCGTGTTCGCCTTCCTCGCCGCCTTCCTCTTTCTGAAGTGCCAGCCGGCCCGGCCCACTACAGGGGGGCGCAAAAATGGGGGCGGGGGATGCGACGAGCGTGAAGATCGGCCTGCGCGCTCCCCGGGCGCGAGGGGCTCAACGCGAGGACGGGGGGGAGCACCATCGGGTGCGCCTAAGAGGGGGAGCAGCGCATCATGGCCACGAAATGGGGCGGGGAGGGCAGGGGACGTAAAGAAAGGATAAAAATGAGAAAACGAATAATCCACCAGCCCTTTAGGGCGTAGGTGGTCTAGGGTGTTTTGTCTTCCATCTGCCCCTCATCCCCTTCGGGGAGGGGTTGGCCCCTCCCCCTACCTCCTCCCCTGGACCTGGACGGGGGGTCCACCAAGGGGTTGGAGCGTCCAAGATGATCAAAGATGGCTCCAAGAGCGCCTCGGAGAGCCCATGGCTCAAGGTATCCTCAGATGTCTCAAGATGGCTCCCAAGATGCTCCAAGAGGCCCCAGGACCGCTCCAAGACGGCTCCAAGTGGCCAAAGAGCTCCCCAAGGAGGCCCCGAAGAGGCCAAAGTCCTTCCAAAACCTAAGGGACTCCAAGATGGCCCCCAAAGCGCACCTGAAGCCCCCAATCCAATAGCGCCCCAAGAGGGCCCCAAGAGGCGCCCAGACGGCCCCAAGAGGCCTCCAAGAGGCTCCCAAGAGACCCCCAAGAGGCCTCAAGAGGATGCCCGAGGCAATCGAGACGCTCAAAGAAGGCCCTGGGCTCGCCAAGATGCCCCGTCTCCTCCTCCTCCTCCTCCTCTCCTCCTCCTCCTCCTCCTCCTCCACGTCCTCCTCCTCCTCCTCCTCCTCCTCCTCCTCCACGTCCTCCTCCTCCTCCCCCTCCTCCTCCTCCTCCTCCTCCTCCTCCTCCTTGTCCACTGTCTCTTCCTCCTTCCTCCTCTTCGCCCTCCTCCTCCTTCTCCTCCTCCTTCTCCCTCCACCATCCTCCCCCTCTCGGGTTATCGGACGGCTTCCCCAGCCAATTGTTCTTCTGCAAGCTCCCCCACTTCCCTGATCACCTCTGGATGGGCTGGTGGGGATATTTTTTTTTCGGTCGCGGCCGCGCGACAACGGTCAGGCGGCGAGAGGCAAAGTCCGGGGCAGGCGGCACGATGCGAATTTGCGAACCCAGCCGCCATGTCGGCAAGCCAGTTCGCACCTGCAAGACACGCTCGCAGCTGCACATGCACAGAACAAAATAAACTAAATTCACTAGCAAACGCACATAGGCGCAGCAGCGTGACCGAAGTGAACTGTCCCCACCCACACTGTGCAGGGAATCCCTGGCGCCACTAGCCTACCCCCTCGAGGTAGGGATAGATGGGGGGTAGGCCCGACCGGCCAAGGCTGTCCCAGTGGGGATGGGGATAGGCTAGGCGATGCTGAGCTACGTGCAGGTGAGCGTTTCATAATTCGGCGTTTCGACATTGGGCGGAAGGGTGGGGGGAGGGGGGGGGGTCTGGCCCTGGACCTCTGCTTAGTGCCACTGTTCGCAAGAGCGCTGCCTCTGGGGGAGACTCCACCCGCTCGAAACAGGCGCCAAAACAACAGCCAAGATCTACTCCATGGGGGGGGGGGGAGGGCGGGCTTTGGGGTCCGCGCCGACCGGCAAAACGATGAATAAAAAACGATCACCAGGAACATCCGAGACGCGGTGCTTCACCCGACTGCTTCCGAGACGACCGTGCGCAGCGCGTCCCGGCGCGGGCGACTGCGAGAAGCCTGCGCAGGCGGCAGCGAGGAGCCACTGCCGGGCCGCCGCAGGCGAGGCGATCAGACCTCCCGGCGCGCACCTCTGGCCCCGGACTGCCGGCGGAGCTGTGTCCTCGTCTCGCTCTGCCTGGGCCCAGGGGTCGGGGGGCGGCAAAGAGGTGGGTGATGACTTAGGGGGGGGGGGCGGATATCATGGCGGTGGCATCATGACATTTCCCCAGATTTCATGGCGCCGCTTCTTATTTCATCACGTCCCTGGCTCCCCCCCTGGGCCGCGCACATGCCGCGGGCCACGATTTGCACCCCCCCCTCTTGGACGCTCCCCTCCTGGCCGCCCCCGAAGGGAAGGCTTGTCGGCACCTGGCAGAGCCTTCTCCCTGCGAAGCCGGCGCCGTTCTCGCCGCCGCGCGAAGCGTCTCGTGCTCCCGCCTGGAAGCGCACCTCCCTCGGAAGCACTGCGGCGTTTTGACACTCACGCGCGCGAGCTTCGCTCTCTCGCACACCTGCGCCCACGGGCGAAGGCACTGCGCGCGCGCCGCCGGGCGCTACCAGATCCAGCTGCCGATGACAAGCCGCATGGGGCATCGGCTCGTGCGGAGACGCTGCGCGGGCAACGGAAATGCTCGGCGCACTCGCCGCGCGCCGTCCGCACTCCTCTGGGACTCCCCAGAGCTGCGCGGAATTTCTCGCAGCGGAGGCCGCGCGAAAAACAACATCGCGCGCGGTGCTTTGTCTGATAACCGTCGCGCGACTGGCGGCTCTCGCGGGCTGTATTTGTCGTGCGCAGATTTCTCGGAATGCACATTCGCATTCTAGAGATTTGCTCAAAACTTAAGAATAATATCTGAATATGGACTTATTCAACAATTCAATGTTCAAGAAGCGTTATCGGCATAACAATCTCCTGAGGTTCAGGGCGCCCGCGGACGCGCGAACTCATGGCCGGCATTCTTGTGCGACAATTCGAGCCTTGCGCCAGTTCTCACTCGACTGGTGGTCAAACAGATGGGCTGCTCGCCTTCGCCGCCCGGTGCGCGCGAACGCGGCGCCCGCACGGGGGGCGGAACTCATGGCCCCACGTGCCTTCCCTGGCGCCCCCTGCTAGGGGCCGGCAGGCATGGGCCTACACACATCGCTCCGAGGAAGCGATCTGTGCATCTCCCCCCCCCCCGGAGAATCGAAGTCTCGGGACCACACGAGGCGGTGGGCATGGATATCTTTTGGGTCACCCCGGGGGGCCCGAGCATATCCATGTCGGCCGCCTCGTGGGGGCCACCGCCTGTGCCC